TATTTCTCTGCTTTTTCACTTAATATTTTGGTACTTTTTCACATCATTAAGATTCTTTATAAATATAATATTCAAAATGGAATTATATTTTACTTTCTTTGGTGGGATCATAACTAATTTAACTGTTCTTCTATTCATCACATTTGCTCTTTTTAAATATTTTTAAATAAATGAATATGCTTGTGCCTTAGTCTTTTGCAACATTTCTGATTACTTTCTTAGAATGAACTCTTACTAGGGGAGAAACTACTTAAAAGGAATAAAAATTTTTAATGTTATTACTTATTACTAAATAGCTTCCTAAGAAGTTTTGTGTAATTTATATTCATAGAATTTATAAGAAAAACAATTTCAAAGTACCCTCCAACATTAATCAAATTTATTTATTTGTTGTTTATGAGAAAAAAGCTAATCTCAATATTTTTATTTACATTTCAGTGGTTACTAGAGTAATGAATATTTCACGTTTGCATTATCTTTTGCATTTTATGCATTTATAGTCTATCTTTTCTCTTTTTGGAATTATTCTCATCTATTTGCATAATATCTTTATACATTATTATATTAACAATTTATCTATACTTGTTTCAAATATTTAATTACCTACAGATGTTAGAAAGAATATTTGACCTAATGTCAGTCAGTAAAGACTCTGATGTCAAAAGATAAATCTAAGATAGAATAAAAGAGTACCTTCCTCCAGAGAGCAGAAAGTGCTAAAAATTGGCCCAGGTGGAAAAACTAAAGCAAAGTGAATTAAAGATTTGCCTCAGTAGAGTTCAAGTGGGCCATAAAGGATTCAGGATTTTACTGATCAAAAGGAAGTAGCATTTGGTAAAGCAAGCTGCCCAGACTGTGTGTGCAGATTTTTCTAGAAAAGCAGTCAGTCATGGCTGAGACCCAGATGCAGAGCATAAGGCAGCCATTTACCTTTGGTGACTTAAGGATTAGACCATCTTTGATATCTTAGACATTTTTGTTTCCAGCCTGCATCCTTTAACCTCACACATCTCTGCTCTAAAATCATAAACATTAATGAAATACAAAAAGACTTTTAATCTAGTATCAGAAGAGAAGTCAGGAAAAAAGAGCAGATGCTAAAGATAACAAAATTAAATTCTAAGACTTCTGTGAAGCTGGGGAATTGAGAAAATATCCCCTGAAGAGCACTTTGGTCATGGGAGAGAAAAGAGAGAGCTGTGGAGACAAAGTTAGCAATGAGGTTTAGGACACGCTATCCCAAAATACGGCACATTGGAATATTGAATATTTTAGGCTGAAGGATTTTGAGAACACAAAAGAAGTAGGAGGGTCATTCTCTCCTTCTCCTGAAGGAAATCATAAAACCTAATGTGGATTTTCTGACCTTCCCTGAAGAGGGGATGAGACCCTCATTAGAGAGGTACTCTCCCTGTATGTAAAGGCAAGGAACATCCTTGCCTCTGAAGACACAGGGTCAGAGAGAGGAAACGGAACAAATAGACCTTGTAAAGTATCTCCCAGTTCATTATCCTTAGATCACACCTCCTTGTCCAATTATATTGCTTTACAACTGCCCACTTGTCATCAAACCGAACATGTAAATACAACACAAGTTTAACTGTTTCTTAGGGCCTTCATTTCCTTACGAAGGTCTCATGTCACATAAGCGTATTAATAAGTTGACATGATTGTTTTTTGGTTAGTTTGCCTTTTGTTTCAGGACTTAAGCCATGAATGTAGATGGGGGAGGAAAAGATGTTTCTCTTCCCCACTATTAGTCGTGAGACCCTAAACATAGGAGCTAACCCAACCACAGACCAAGTCAATTCTGGGTTTCCCTCGTGCTTTCCTTATTTATTCAGAATTCCCTCAGGCTTTTCTTTCTTTCTTTTTTTTTGAGACAGAGTCTGACTCTGTTGCCAGGCTGGAGTGCAGTGGCACGACCTCAGCTCACTGCAACCTCCTGATCCCGGTTCAAGCAATTCTCCTTCCTCAGCCTCCCGAGTAGCTGGGACTACAGGCATGTGCCACCACGCCCAGCTAATTATTGTGTTTTTAGTAGAGATGGGATTTCATCATATTGACTAGGCTGGTCTTGATCCCTTGACCTTGTCATCTACCCAACTGGGCCTCCCAAAGTACTGGGATTACAGGTATGAACCACTGTGCCTGGCCTTATCTTGGGCTTTTCAACAGCCAAAGCAAAGTCACCAAAACCCAAATCTAAAATATAGAGTAGAAAAATTTATATTTTCCTTTAAAAAATCATGGCCTTTGGCATATGTGCATATGATCAAGGCCAGCTGTGCACCCTGGGAACTGGGACAGACACATGAACTCATGCCTCCTGGATCTGTCACATTTCTCAACTGGAGTTGAATGCCTTGATACGGTGCCCATTGAGAATGTCCGTCTTAACAATATACCATGCCACTAGACTGTTTTCTGCTTAATTTTTTCTGAAATTTATGATGATAAACATGTTAACCAATTTCCTAAAAGATATTGCCACCACAGTGTTTTTCTCTCTCCAAGCTCACTTTTTGCATAGAGAGCCAATTGTCATTCTGCAATGGGAAGAAAAGGATTCCCTTCGTTATCTCTCTTTCCTTATTTATTAAGATTTCCCTCAGGCTTTTTAATGTTGCCCAAAAGTGTCTTGCTCTCAGTAATTCTGTTGTTTTAATACCATGGAAATTGCCTTTAGGATGCAGTGCATGAAAAGGCAAAACGGAAAAGTTTACTTTGGTTATCGCTAAATTAAAGTGAGTGATGAAAAGGAAATCTGTTTTGTTGTGGTGCTGGTGATGGTGCTTGTTTGCACAAACATTTTTCTCAAAGCCTGTTTTTATAAAGGTTTTAATCTTAGAACTGTTTGTCACGCCTGTGTGCCACATCATTCCTCTTCCTGCCTGGCTGGAATTTCTCTAACCCCTTTTCTTGGCCATTCCAATCTCGTCCGTTTCCATTTCCCTCCAATGCATTATCACCATCACAACAGTACTCTGAAATCACTCTGTACCTTCATTCAGTATCACAGAGGACAGCTGAGTATCATCCTTCATCCACTCATTTATTATTTTATTTAACTACCTAATTAGAATACTTGCTGCAAGTCAGCGGCCACGAAAATGCAGTCTCAATCATTCATTTACCCTGTTTTAGGTAATTGACCTGAAACTAATTTCCCTTGTCACTCTATCTTTTAAAATTGTATTAGTATTTTTAAGGAATTTACCAGTTTCATATGGATTTCAAATGTATTGCTTATAGTAATTCACAATACAGTTAAAATGTCAATAGTTATTTCTTCCTTTTTAGTTTTTAATTTGTAGCTACTTCTACCTTTTTATTCTTTATTTTACCTGTTAGCAAATTTTCCCTCTTTCTTCTTGGTCAATCTTCACAGAAGTTTGTATGTCTTAATAATCTTTTGGAAGAACCAGCTTCCCATTTGCTAATTTTCTTTATCATTTGTGATCTAAATTGTATTATATCTTCTTTTACCTTGGTTATATTCTTGTTTCTTGCTTCTTCGGGTTTGATATGTTTTTCCTGTCTTTCTAACTTGAGTGTGAAAATAATTTACCTTCCACCTTTCTTCTTTCTTGATAATTGTACTTTTAGCTCTACATTCTTTATGTAAACACTGCTTTAGCACTTTCCCCAAAACTTGACTTTTAACATGCTTATGATCACGAATTTTGAATCTTTTTTTTTTTTTTGAGATGGAGTCTCATGCTGTTGCCCAGGCTGGAGTGCAGTGGCATGATCTTGGCTCCCTGAAAACTCTGTCTTCCAGGTTCAAATAATTCTCTTGACTCAGCCTGTTGAGTAGCTGGGATTACAGGAACACACCTCCATGCCTGGCTAATTTTTTTATTTTTAGTAGAGACAGGGTTTCGCCATCTTGGTCAGGCTGATCTTGAACTCCTGACCTTGTGATCTGCCCACCTGGGCCTCCCAAAGTGCTGGATTACAGGCGTGAGCAACCCCGTGAGACCTGAATACTTTTTAATTTTCTTTACTATTTCCTTTTTAACACAAGGGTTATTTAATAATCTTTATTACTTAGTTTTCAAAAATATTGATTTTATAAAAACAATATTTTGTCTTATATTGATTCTTTAACATTTATTGAGACTTCTGTTATGTCCTAATGCAGACCTTTTTTTTCCAAATATTTGTGTATATTTTAAAAAATACCATCTCTGTTGAGTATAGATCTTTTTAATATTCTGTAGTACTCAAACTCTTTGCTGCTTCTGCTAGTTTAATGTCTTAATTTCTAAAAATGGTGTTAAAATTCCTAAGAACTATTATCCCTTTTTGTCATAATTCCTACCAGTCAATGTTTTATGTATTTGGAGGTTATATTGCTAGATGCATATATGTGTGTATCTCATACAAGTATATAATATTCTTTGAACATTATGCTACATTTGCCTTAAATATTATTTACTCAGATATTATGAATACAATACTAGTTTTCCTTTGGTTATGTTTCATTTGAGATATTTTATAACCCTTCACTTTTAATCCTTCTCTTCTTGTTTTAAGTTTGTGTCTTTCAGGCAGATTTTTCAGTTTTGTTTTAAATTTAATCTTAGAGTCTTCATTTTTTAATTGGTATGTCTAAGCCATTTATAACTACCATATTTTTTAGGAGACTTTTGTTTCATCATTTTTTTTTTTTATTTTCCATTAACTCTTCTCATTAAAATCTTTTTTTCTGAGTAAAATTTAAAAAATGTAGACTTATTGAAGGAGACCTTATTCAAAAAGATGATTACAATAAATGAAGAAAATTACAAAAGGGAAAACTCTCAGACCATAAGATTGGGCAGAAAGGGATTTTCTTTTATAAAGAGGAACAAATATGCCTACAAAATCTTGGTGTAGGAGAGTGGAATAAAAGGGTAAAGCAATGGAACTGTTAAGCAGGAATGCCTTTCCTTAAATTAAGGTCAGCAGATTCTTGGGAGAACCCATAAAAGAGACCCTAAACGCCCGGCGCCCCCTGCCCCCCGTCGGGACGTCCAGCGCCGAGCCGTCGGCCGCGTGGACCCGAAAGCCGCTCGGAAAAGCTTACCCAAGGTCCAGCCTAGCCCCTAGACACCATGTCAGACAGTGATCTAGGTGAGGATGAAGGCCTCCTCTCCCTGTCGGGCAAAAGGAAGCGCAGGGGAAACCTGCCCAAGGAGTCAGTGAAGATCCTCCGGGACTGGCTGTACTTGCACCGCTACAATGCCTATCCCTCAGAGCAGGAGAAGCTGAGCCTTTCTGGACAGACCAACTTGTCAGTGCTGCAGATATGTAACTGGTTCATCAATGCCCGGCGGCGGCTTCTCCCAGACATGCTTCGGAAGGATGGCAAAGACCCTAATCAGTTTACCATTTCCCGCCGCGGGGGTAAGGCCTCAGATGTGGCCCTCCCCCGTGGCAGCAGCCCCTCAGTGCTGGCTGTGTCTGTCCCAGCCCCCACCAATGTGCGCTCCCTGTCTGTATGCTCCATGCCACTCCACTCAGGCCAGGGGGAAAAGCCAGCAGCCCCCTTCCCACGAGGGGAGCTGGAATCCCCCAAGTCCCTGGTGACCCCTGGTAGCACACTCACCCTGCTGACCAGAGCTGAGGCTGGAAGCCCCACAGGTGGACTCTTCAACACACCACCACCCACACCCCCAGAGCAGGACAAAGAGGACTTCAGCAGCTTCCAGCTGCTGGTGGAGGTGGCGCTACAGAGGGCTGCTGAGATGGAGCTTCAGAAGCAGCAGGACCCATCACTTCCATTACTGCACACTCCCATCCCTTTAGTCTCTGAAAATCCCCAGTAGCCGTCTGCCAAGAGGGGTGCTCGAGGCTCAAGCCAGCTGTTCTGGGTTTCCGTTTTGGCTCCCTTTCATGCAGAGGGTTTTCTATGGATCACTGCCAAACATTGGGATCATCTCCTCTGTGTAGAGGTCTTCAGCAGGAAGGTGCCAGTTGGCACCACTGCACTGTGATGGGGAACCTCTCCTCTGCTGACTCTGCCGTTTCTCCAGGCCTCCCCTCAGTGATGAGACCAAGAGATCGGAGACAAGCATGGTGCTGCTGCTGCTGCTGCTGCTTCTCCAGAGAATCCCTGGGACACCTTTGTTCCAGCCTGATTTCCTGGGCTAGGCTCAGGAAAGCTGCCAAGTTCAGTCCTATGTTGGGTCCAAGCTACCCCTGTGCTGTTTCTGTCAAGCCAGGTGTGGACATTCCAAGTTCATATGCGTGAACAAAAGAAGAGGAACCCAGTGGATGTACCGGAACCGACTCCAGTTGAATGTTTAGATTTTTGCTAAACTGTTTTGTTTTTCCCTTTTTTGCTGTGGTTTACATTAACGGCAGTAGTTAGCCCAGGTGTGGGGAACAAGAGTGTACTGCATGGTAAGAATTCTGGTGAACTGGGAAGGACCCACAACTAACTGGGGATTGTTTTGCAAGAAAGGAGTATTTTTATTTGGGGACCAGCTAAGTCTCTGCAGTAGTGTGAAATTTCAAATGGTTGTTTTGGTTTACCAAAAAAAGGCAGAAAAAACAACTTTATGAGTGCATTATCTTTTCTGCCACAGGCACAGAAGGGTAGAAAGCCACAGCTGGGGGCAGTCCAGCAGAATGGGACTAAACCTAGGCACCGAGCAGAGAAGGATAAGATCAAAAGGTGTTTGCTTTTTCTTTTAATTTGTGTTGTAGTTTTTTTGGGGGGTGGGGGAAGTAAACTAGACTGAAGCAATGGATTTTTTTTTCTTTAATATTTTTCCCTTTGTTCTTGAACACTTTTGCCCTGTACCCTGAGTTTTGAATTCCTTTAGGAACTTGGATTAGGGGGGCTCGAATGTCAGAAGTGCCCAGCACCTCCTACTTGGAGAGAAGTGAGCCATCTGCTGGTCAGGAAGTCCTCCAAACGGGCAGCTCTTTCCACTATTCCTGCTTGGGGAAAGGAAGCTGGGGCTGGAAAAACGTTAGAAGCTTGCTAGCTGGGAGTGTCTTTGTTTCACCTTTCTCTTAAACTAGACTTGCAGGGGCCTCTGACCTGAACTTCCCGGTGAAATAGATCACAATTGGTCTTGTGCTCCTCCCTCTCCCCCATTTTTGTTTTGCTCTTTTTTTTTTTTTTTTTTTTTGAGACAGTCCCACTGTCACCCAGGCTGGAGTACGGTGGTGTGATCTTGGCTCACTGCAACCTCCGCCTCCCAGGTTCAAGCAGTTCTCTGCCTTAGCTGCCCAAGTAGCTGGGATTACAGGTTCCTGCCACCACACCCAGCTAATTTTGTATTTTTAGTAGAGATGGGGTTTCACCATCTTGGCCAGGCTGGTCTTGAACTCCTGATCTCGTGATCCACCTGCCTCAGCCTCCCAGAGAGCTGGGATTACAGGTGTGGGCCGCCACGTCCAGTCTCTTTTGCTGTTTCATTGCTGATAGTGTTGAACAGCAATATGCCCCATCTTTATATATGCTAAGAAACACTAATTCTAGGTTATTATTAGCTGAAATATTTTTGTCCTGAATAACGTCGTTACTGGGCCAAAAGATAGATCAGGACCCCCAAGCTTTAGTTTCCTGAAGTCACCAGCTCAGGCACAAGGAGAAGGGGTTCCTGGATATTGACTAACGTGGGTGGGCCTAGCCAGGAGAAAGATAGTAACATGTTCTTTACTTTCTGGGAAGATCCCTGAAGCCATCACAGAGGCTCCCCAACTTCTGAGTCACCCATCTCTTGCTGAGGGAGTGGGAATGGATTGCTTAAGGAGAGGGAGTTTTGCTCTTTCCAGGTGGGCAAGTTTCCTGGGCTCTCTGTGTTGCCTCCTACTGGCTTCTTTCTCCTTTGCCCTCTCCCCATGTGCCCCAGGGGGATCAGGGATCCTCACCCTCCTGAGGCCCAGTGGGGAAGAATGAACATGGCAGCTTCCAGGTTAACTGAAGCTTCCATTTGCCCAGCATCTTCCATCCCAGCCCTGTTAGTGAGCCCAGGTCTGATGAAACTGTTGCAGGATAGTGGAGAACTTCCACTATCCAGGTAGTGGAGAACTCTGGAAGTATATTGGGCTGAAGTGGGATTTTCCCTCCCCACAGTGCACTGAGCAATGGAGGGTGGTGAGGGGTGAAGGAGCCATGCTGCTGAATTCTGGTTGGCATTCCCCCCTTGTGTAAAATGGGGTGTTGGGGTAGGGCAGACTCTGCTTGGGTTTGGTTGTAAGATAAAGCTGGAGGAGAAGCACAGTTGTCCCATTGGATTATTTGAGCAAAAACTACTGTAAATAACTTCTTTGTCTGTTGTCAAATAAAATTGTTTTTGTTTTTGTTTTTTTTAAGCAGAAAAAAAAAAAAAAAAAAAGAGACCCTAAACATTCCCCATTCCCCACTGCAATGCTGGCTCAGGCTGAGGGAGGCTTAGAGTTCCAGGCCCTGAGGAAGGAGAGATAACTGACTAAAGTCCAGTCACAACAAGTTAGCAGGTATTTTCTTCAGATTGATTGGTGAGTACAAACAGCATAGCTTATGATTTTTGAAGCAAAGAATGGGAATGTAGACAGTCTGTTTCTGACCTAGTCATAGGTTTAAAAAAAAAAGAGGGTAAATCTGCTAGTCTTATGCAAATCACCTGGGGAAGGTTATTTCTTTGCAATAAGCCCTTTCTTGGGACACAAAAAAGTGTGAAGAGGACAGTCTCAGATAGTTTAATATTGTCACCTTCTTTCCATTGAATATACCATTTTCATTTGAAAGCTATATCTTACTGTTTTAGGCCTTTTTAAAAGACCTATTCTCTGTTAATTTTAAGTAAACTTATCAATATATATTGCCCACTTACAAGATAAGTATTTTATTATACTCTTGTGTTTCTCTGTTCTCAAAATGTGTCTTTGTAAACACTAGCATAAACCATCTTACGTTTTTCCTTATCTTTATCATTATAGAATCTAAGATGATGTCTAATTTCTTCCATACGCTTTTAGTTTTAATATTTATCAAATGTAGTTCCTGATTACAACGTGGTTCATAATTATCTGTGTGTCCATCTATCTCTTCTATCTAAAAATGCTATTTTAACAGAAAAAAATGTAAATACGAATTATGCACTTTCTCAAAAAGTCTACAAGCTATGTAATATAGTATGTGCTCTGTACACCTTTCATTATTGACAAAGGATATGTCAAGTAGACGGTCACATAATTATATTCATCGGTTGTAACTACAATCTGCCATCGGCAGTTTTCTCATGTGTATTAAGAAAATATTACATATTTCCTCTATCTGGCCATTGATGTAAAATTATTCATATGATTACACGCAGACACCTATAAACAAATAGAAATACATCTCATTCTTATGGATTGGTAGAATTAGTATTGTTAAAATGACAATACTACCCAAAACAATCTACAGGTTCAATGCAGTCCATATAAAAATATAAATGATATCCTTCACAGAAATAGAAAAAAACCCTAAGATTTGTATAAAACCACAAAAGACCTCAAATACCCAAAGCAATCCTGAACAAAAAGAACAAATCTGGAGGCATCATATTATCAGACTTAAAAATATAGTTCAAAGCTGAAGTAATTAAAACAACATGGTACTAGTATAAAAATAAACACATAGACCAATAGAACAGAATAGAGAACCCAGAAATTAATCCACCTATCTACAGCCAACTGATTTTTAGAAAGATGTTAAGAATACTCATTTGGGAAAGGACAGTCATAAAGTGTGGTGGGAAAACTGGATATCCATTTACACAAAAATGAAACTAAACCCTCACTTCTCACCCTATGCAAAAGTCAACCCCAAATGTATCAGAGACCTAAATGTAAGACCTGAAACAATAAAACTACTAGAAAATTTTAAGGAAAACACCTCAGGACATTGGTCTGGGAAAATATTTTATGAATAAGACTAAAGGCACTGGCAACAGAAGCAATAATAAATAAATGGGATAACATCGAACTAAAAAGTTTCCTTTGCACAACAACAAAAGAAAAACCCAATAGAATGAAAAGAAAACCTATGGAATGAGAAAATATATTTGCACACAACTTACACAACAGATGATTAATATCCAAAATATACAAGGAAATCAAACACTGCAACACCAAATAAATCCAATTAAAAATGAAAAAATGATATGAACAGATATTTCTCAAAAGAAGACATACAAATGGCCAACAAATATATAAGAAAATGCTCAATATCAGTAATCATCAGGGAAATGCAAATCAAAGCCACAATGAGGTATCATCTCACCCCAGTCAAGATGGCTGTTATAAAAAGGACAATAAATAATAGGTGTTGGGGAGGATGCATTGAAAAGGAAACTCTTACACACTGTTGGTGGGGATGTAATCTATCTTGTACAGCCACTATGGAAAACAGTATGGAGATTCCTCAAAAAACCATAAATAGAACTATGACATGATCCAGCAAACTCGTTACTAAGAATTTATACAAAGAAAAGGAAATGAATATAGAGACCTTTATACCCCCACAGCCCTATTCCCAATAGCCAAGATATGAAATCAACCTAGGCATCCAACAATGGTTGAATACATGAAGAAAATGTGGTGTATATACCATGGAATACTATTTGGACATAAAAAGAATGAAATCCTCTCACAGCAACATGAATGAAACCAGAAGACATTATGTTAAGTGAAAAAGCCAGGAACAGAATATTGAACATTGCATGTTCTCATTCATATATTGAAGCTAAAAAAAAAAAAAAAGGTGACCTTATAGAAGTAAAAAGTAGAACAGAGAATACTACAGGCTAGAAACAGTAGGTAGAAGGGAGGGAAGGGAGGAATAAGCTCTATATCACTGTAGGATGAATACAGCTAACAATAATAAATAATTTTAAATAACGAGAAGAAGAAAAATGAATGTTCTCAACATGAAGACAAATGTTTGAGTTAATGGTCATACTAATTACCCTGATCTAATTACTATGCATTAAATGTATGAAAACATCACTGTATATAACATAAATATGTACAATTCTTATTAGTCACT